TTCTGCTTTTAAGGTCCTAAAAACTAAAGTTTTATACAACTTATACCAGAGTTATTTAACTAGATTGCCCTGAGGGCCAAGGTTGCTTAAAGCCAACAGTTCAAGCCCCTCACCTCATGGGGGTTGCCCATTAATAGATTAAATACTGCAGAACAAGTTTTATCTTTTACCTTTTAAAATGTTTATTTTGTTGCAATGAAGCACAAATGATAACTTAACAAATGATTAAATTTTTTTAAAATTTAAATTAAGCAAAAATAAATCTAAAACTTTGTGGAGGGCAGTAGAGCAGGGCCTCAACCATGGGCCAGATGTGGCCCGCGGGGCACCAGTTGAGTAGCACTGACTCATGCCAACTTGTGGAAACTCTAAAGACATCGACGGTGAAGATGGAAATAAAAATAACTGGAATCCTCTTTTAGTCGTGTACATACAGTCATGCTAACAAATGCATAAAATATGTGACTTTTATTAATTTAGACCTAAAAAAGTTTGGCATAAGTTGTCTAAAACTCAAAAAAGTGATTTCTAGTCTGATTTTAAATACTTTACCTGCCTGCTGAGAAATCTTCAAGCCGAGAAGAAAAAATCCTGCAAATATTAAATTTAACAAATCATCTTTTCTTTAATCAAATAAATGTCCTTAATACAGATGCTATAAGCTCTAATATTTGTTACATTTGTAGAAATACTCTTAATTGTCTTGTAGTGTAATAATAATTGAAGACTCACCCAGGATAAGTAATTTCATGGTTTCTGGAGAACCTCAGAAAGGTTTTTAATTATAAGCAGGTTTAACAAAGAATTCAGTAAAAATGTTTTTATCTCATCTAAACTAACTTCAGATTTATTTGTGGGCATCCTGAGCTGGTGTTGTTCTGAGGGAGATTTAAACAGGTCATTATGCAAATAAAACAATAAAAGAATAAAGCTTCGTCACACAGGTCCTTCTCCCTGGAACTGGAAAATAATCAGAAAAATGAGGAAATAAAAAACAAAACAGATTGTTTTTGTGTGAAAATATGATCAAAGAAAATAAAAACGGCATTTTATTTATTTTAACACATTTGTTTTTTATACAGACCATTTAAATACTATAGTTATTTATCGCAGGTAAATTTCTGTCTCTTGTTCATTAAAAAAAGAAAGAAAAAAAACATTTCCTGTTCTTATTTTGCTCATTTTTCTGTCTTGATCGGTCTGACTTTAGTCATTTTTGAGGGTTTTATCAATTTAAATTTGACTTTTTATGTAAAAACATAAAATAAATAAAAACACAAGTCAAAACAGACAAAATCAAAAAGAGATCCAAACAATGTTGTTACAGCTTCTTCCTGTCAGAGTCTCGGACCACCAGAGCCCATGTCCTGCATGTGGACAGGTCTCAAGTCCATCACAGGACTATAAAGAGATCAGCTGAAAAAAAAAACTATCTGCAAGAGAGGTAAACAAAAATGTCTGCCTCTGAGAATGTGTGCAGCACAGTGGCACAGTGGTTAGAGCTGCTGCCTCACAGTAAGGGGGACATGTCCAGGGTGTCCCCCATCTCACACCCATGGAAAGGAGTAAGTAAATAAAATGGACTGGACACACTGTGTCCTCTGCATGTCCCCACCTGTCTCTTTAACGTCTGCAGAGACATCATGAAGTTTTTTATTTTCATTTACAGGGTTGTTATCCTCATGTAAAGACCCTCAGACCGGACTGAGTTCTCTTTGAGGACCTAATTATTTTATTGGGTCTTATTTTCTTTCTATTTTATTTTATAAAACAGTAAGATGTCCTCATCGTACAGCCTGCTGAGCATTTCATTTTGACCTACTTTAAAACAACACGTTTCTCCTTCAGCAGTGACTTTTTGAACATTTTTAAACTTCCAACAGAGAACCTGAGTTATTCGCCCTGCAGGAAATAATCAGTCCTCACAAGCTTACCATGAATTTAAAATGAAACCTCATATTTGTACAATAGCTCAAATATCTTTACTTAAATTGCACCATTGTACTTAAAAATCTTGCCTTACACAAACATACAAAAACATGTTGCGTTCAACAAGATGTTTGTTTTCTGTGGCTGTGAAAACTAAAGCAAAAGGTCAGAATAAAACGTGCCGATGTACTGAGTGATTGGACTGATCCAACACTAAGTAGTAAAAGTATTAAATGTAAGTAAAACAAGATTTAAAGAGAACATTAAAGCTCCAACTTTGGCTTTGAATCATTTGTTTAATTAATCTCCTATTTGTGTGCAGTTTACAGCTTCCTGCTGAGGGCAGAGGAAGGGTTATATATTTATTTATTTGAAGGTGAACAAAGTTGGGACAGAGACTCCCACAGAGTGTAAATAATACCCAATTTTATAAATTTGAAATAATCTGAATTAAATTTCCTCCATTTTGCAGTTTTTGATGCTTTGACTGAAACTCACTCTGTTTTAACAAACATGTCATCATAAGCATAACTTGCAGGGCGGTTACAACCACCACAATAATTTTATCTAGTCAATGTACCGCCCTGGCCCCAAGAAAATTACACCAATTTGTACCATACTGGTGTAAAACCTGCGGGTAAAAAAGTAAGCCTCTGACATGGAACAGAAAAGGAGCAGAGTAAATAAAAGAAAACAGGGAAGTTCAGTAAATCAAAGTAAAAGCATTACAACGTATTTTAACACCAAAATATCCTGAATCATTTTTTACAAATGAATGAATGAATAAATAAATAAATAAATAGGCAGAGAGCAGAACACCCTTAAATACAGAACTAAAGTTACACCTTTGCATGTCGTCATAAACTTTTGGATTATCTTGTAACATTTGGACCTGAAGAGACA